AACTTTCAACCATAAATTTCACTTTTTTTCCTTGTTAAATTTTGACTTCATTCAATCAACAATTAAACAAAAAAGCTTCATTTGTTTCAATAGAATCCAAATAAGGAAATGACTTTTAGCCTCAGCCATTGGTATTGCCAGCATATTACCATGAATAAATGTTAATCACCCTATATAAAAGACTTGCACAACATGAAATATGAACTCAACATAAAAAGGTTAAAGGAGTCATCCATCTTACAAGATGGAAGTTATTTTTATGCATGCAGCAAGGCAAAGCAATCATGGCATTCTAACTCCATTAAAAATCAAATTTTCCAAAAATAAAACGAGTACAACAAAAAGGTCGAGGCAAAACTTTTGATTACAATTTATAAGCATTGTAAAATTACCTGCATTTATCATAGGTTCAATGGTAAAGATCTGTCCTGCCTTCATAACACCAACAGCTTTATTTCCTGCTAAGGTTAAGGTCATACAGAGAGGACAAAGGAAAAATACAAAGTGGGTAAGAAGAGATTGAAATTGTAATATCACAAAAATATGAGTCAGTTCACTCTATACTTTGCATTCCTCATTTTGTTCAGAGGCAAATTTTTAATGCAAATGAACATTCAAATGGAAAAGTTGCTTCTTTACGGATACTTGCATAATGAAGAATCTTTGGTGCGCCATGGAAGAGCTCTCCAATACCATGACCACAATCAGACTTCGCTTATCTACATAGGACAAGGAAAGAAAGATGGGTTAAGAACCTGACATCTTCTCATTTGGAATAAAGAATAAGAGAAACAACAAATAACCAGGATTCCAGGTTACTACAGAGAACCCTGATATTGAAGGATGTTCTTTCCAACAGGTTTGAGATAAATATTCTCAACTACAAAAATACGCTAATGCTGATGAGGTTGACATGGGTCATCCAAGACCTTAGATAGTTAGGTTTTTCACACAGCTATCAAGTTCAATTCGGCGACAAGTGTGATCAATCCTAGTTTTCTTCAAGTCTTCATTATTGGTGTCTTTGTTGAAGAGGAAGTCTCATCTCTATTTTTGTTTTAGTGCATATCCAAGAGATCCTAGATTAGACAATGATGAAAACTATGCATGCAACTTATAAGCAGACAGATGTACTTCACGCTAACATGATTTCAAAAGGAAAATATTAATGAGTAACTTACTCAACAAGTGTCTCTCATTCTCTCAATTTGC